GGCCCCCGCGGGGGCCCCCGGGGGGGCCCCGGCGAGGGGGCCCCGGTGGGGCCCCCCGGGGGCCCCCTGGGGACGACGCTGAAGGGCGTGGGCCCCTGCTACGCGACGAAGGCCGCGCGGATCGGCGTGCAGGCGTGGGAGCTGCTTTGCTGGGATCGGTTCGAGGAGAGCTACCTGGGCGTTGCTGCTGCGCTGCAGCAGCAGTGTGGGGCCCCGCTGGGGGTGGCGCTTGCTGCGGAGCTGGCGGAGCACCGGGTGTACAGACAGCTGCTGGCCCCGCAGCTGGCCGACACTGCAGCGCTGCTGCTGGGCGGCGTCTTGTGTGGGGCCCGTTTGCTGCTGGAAGGCGCAAATGCTGCGCTGCTGGACCTGGACCTGGGGACGTACCCCTTCGTGACTTCCTGCTGCACCACTGCAGCAGCAGCAGCAGCAGGGCTGGGCCTGCCGCTGCGCTGCTTCGCGCCGCGCTTTGCTGCTGTCGTCGGCGTCGCCAAGGCCTACTGCACGCGTGTGGGGCGCGGGCCCATGCCCACGGAGCTGCGGGATCGTGTTGGGGATCGTCTCCAGCGCGTGGGGCGGGAGCTGGGATCGACCACGGGCCGCCCCCGCCGCTGCGGCTGGCTCGACCTCCCGCTGCTGCTGCATGCGGCGCGCCTCAACGGCTTCGACTGTCTCTTTTTGAACAAGCTGGACGTTTTGTCGGGGATCGATCCCCTGCTGCTCTGCGTCGCCTACAGGGACAGCAGCAGCGGGCTGCTGCTGCCGCCCCACAGCTTCCCCGCTGCAGCGCAGCAGCTGCAGCAAGTGCGCCCGGTGTACGAACGCCTCCCCGGCTGGCACCAGAGCATTTCCCGCTGCAGCTCTTTCCACCAGCTGCCCCCCAACGCCCAGCTGTACGTACACCGCGTCCAGCAGCTCCTCGGCATTCCCATCGCCTTCATCGGCGTCGGGCCGGACACCCACGCCGTCATCCGCAACTTCTGAGCCCCGCTCCTGCCTGCCTAGCTGCCTAGCTCGCTAGCTGGCTAGCTGCTCGCTAGCTGCTCGCTAGCTGCTCGCTAGCTGCCTGGTGGCTGGCTCGCTGGCGGCCAGCTGCATGCATGGGCAGCTAGCTAGCTAGCTGGGCGGATGGCTGGCTAGCTCGATGGATGGCTAGCTAGCTCGATGGATGGCTAGCTCGATGGATGGCTAGCTAGCTAGCTAGCTAGCTAGCTAGCTAGCTAGCTAGCTGGATGGATGGGTGGGTGGATGGGTGGGGAGGGAGGAGGGGAGGTCGGGAGCTGGCTGGAGAGGTGGCTACCTGGGGAGCTAGCTAGCTAGCTAGCTAGCTAGCTAGCCAGCTAGCTAGCTAGCTAGCTAGCTAGCTAGCTAGCTAGCTGGGGAGCTAGCTAGCTAGCTGGGGAGCTAGCTAGCTAGCTGGGGAGCTAGCTGGCTAGCTAGCTAACTGGGGAGATGGGTGGGCAGACGCAGCAGCAGCAGCTAGGCAAGACGCGCAGCTAGCTGCAGACAAACAGATAGGCAACGGCTACCCACACAGCTAGCCACACATCTAGTTAGCTAGCCACACATCTAGCTAGCTAGCCACACATCTAGCTAGCTAGCCACACATCTAGCTAGACACGTGGCGAGCTACCCACACACATAGCTACCTGCGTGGCTAGCTAACCACACACATAGCTAGCCACGTGGCTAGCTACTCACACACCTAGCTAGCCGCATGGCTAGCTAGTCAGCTAGCTGCACATCTAGCAAACTAGCCACACACCTAACTAGCCACATGGCTAGCTAACCACACACCTAGCTAGCCACACACCTAGCTAGCCATGCGGCTAGCTAGCCACATGGCTAGCTAGCCACATGGCCAGCTAGCCACATGGCCACTATATATCTGAAGAGCCAAATAGCTAGGGACGTAGAACAAGAAGGAGCTAGGCTTGCAGCTAGCCAAGCAGCTAGCCAAACACCTAGCCACGCAGCTAGCCAAATAGGTAGTTAGACAGCTAGCTAAAAAACTAGTTAAACAGCTAGCTAAATAACTAGCAGCTAGCTAAGTAGACTGCGAAGAGACCAGCCAAACAGCGCGGACCGCAGCGCAGGCGGGGAGCTCGACGGCTAGCCAAGCAGCTAGCCAAACAGCTAGCCAAACAGCTAGCTAGGCAGCTAGCTAGGCTGCTAGCTGGGCAGCTAGCCACAAACAGCTAGCCAAAGCCGCAGCAGAGGACCTAGTGGGCAGACCCTCCCACAAGCAACCCCAGCTAGCCAGCTAGCCAGCCAGCTAGCTAGCTAGCTAGCTAGCTGGCCAGCTTCCTAGTTAAACAGCGAAGGTGGGGCTCAATGAAGGATGAGGGCGCGGCGAAAGCGGGCACTGCTGCTGCAGCTGCTGCTGCCGTTGCAGCTGCCCCAGCTGCTGCTACAGCTGTTGCAGCAGCTGCTGCAGCAGCTTGCGGCTGCAGGCTGCGGCGGGGGGCGGAGGTGTACGTACACCCCGCGCCGCTGCTGCTGGAGACCCAGTTTAGCTGCTGGGGTGTCTGTACACCCGACGGGCTGTTGAGGTGTACGTACACCGGACTGAATGAACGCGCGTTTGCTTTTCATAAATTGAAAAGTTCGGAGAGATTTGTTTGTCTTCATTTGCAATTTTGTTTCATTTTTATTTCTATTTTTGCTTTTTACTTTTGTAGATGCGTTTGTTCGGGACAGAGGGCGTTTGTGCTGTGCTGCGCAAGGGCACTGGCCAGCAGCAAACCTAAGCAGCAGCTGCAGCTGCAGCAGCAGCTGCAGCAGCAGCTGCAGCAGCAGCTGCAGCAGCAAAATGAGAGACTAGGGGCATAGCCACTGCTGCCGCATCGCGCGCTGAGACGCAGCAATAAGGCTGCTGCTGCTGCGCTGCAGGGGTGCACGCGCTCCTGCTACTGCAGCAGCAGCAGCAAAGTCGGTTCGGTGCTGCTATCGCTGCAGCTGCTGCTGGAGCAACTGCTTTTTTCGCAGGTGCCGCCAAAGGCACCAATGCGTGCACTGCAGCAGCAGCAGCAGCTGCTGCTGCTGCTGCTGCGGGGTTGGCTGCTTTAGGCGCTGCTGCAGCCTGCACACCAGGCTGACTTTTGGTCTGCAGCAGTTTTGTTAATTTGAAATCCAGCTTGAGGGTCTTGCTCCTTTCGACTTTTGGGCAGGCGACGTGCTGCAGCAGCAGCAGCAGCAGCAACAACAGCAGCAGCAGCAGCAGCGAGAGTGGAGGG